CAGTCTACGGACCGTCAATGGGCGTCGTGGTTCCACACTTAGTCAGATTTCCCTGATTTATCCTCACTATCATGCCTGCTGATCTACGGTCATAACCTACGGACCGTGGATGGATCTACGGTCCGTAGATCACCTCCGTGGATGCCCTTTTTCTGCAATTCCTTCAGCTGTCTCTACACATCCGCACCTGAACGTCTTTCCTGCAAAACATGGTAAAAACACATAAAAACCAATATAAAAAGGCCTTAGACACACACAACTAGTAAGTGAAACGTATTAGAAATACCGTAAACTCACGGTATATCAAGAATGACGTCTATGTAGATAATGTTGATTTTCATAATGCGTTTGATGGTGGATAATCCTATAGAGAATAATAATGTTGAAAATTCACGATTCATGTTGGTCAGTATTTGTTACGCCATCTAATCTTGCCCCCGAGTTATGTATGACAAGTCTAAATTGTTCCTAACTTGCAGTATTCCAGGTCCAACCAATCCAAAAAATTTGATTGACATATACATGCAACCTTTGATCGATGAGTTAAAATTGTTGTGGAATCAAGGTGTGAAAACATATGATGTATTCCATAAATAAAACTTCATATTGCGTGCTGCTTTTTGATGTGGACTATAAATGATTTTCCTGCTTATGGATTGTTGTCTGGGTGGTCAACTGCTAGTAAGTTGGCTTGCCCATGTTGTTGGAAGACACAAAATCATTCAGATTAAAACATGGAGGTAAGAACTCATGGTTCGATTGTCACCGTCGATTTTTGCCAATGGATCATGGGATTTATAAAGAAGTCACAAATGTCAAAAATAAGAAGGTTCTAGTGAAGGCAATGCATTACTTACCCCTTATACCTAGGTTAAAGAGGTTGTATGCATCAATGAGCTCTGCTCCTCATATGAGATGGTATTATGAACATAAAAGGCCACTAGGTGTTCTATGGCATCCATCAGATGGAGAAGCATGAAAGTATTTTTATAGAGTGTTTCTTGACTTTGCTAATGAACCTAGAAACTTTAGGTTGGGATTATGTTCTGATGGATTCACTCCATTTGCAGTCTCTGCGGCACCCATATTCATGTTGGCCAGTATTTGTTGCGCCATATAATCTTCACCCCGATTAGGATCATGGGATTTATAAGGAAGTCACAAATGTCAAAAATAAGAAGGTTCCAGTGAAGGCAATGCATTACTTACCCCTTATACCTAGGTTAAAGAGGTTGTATGCATCAATGAGCTCTGCTCCTCATATGAGATGGCATTATGAACATAAAAGGCCACTAGGTGTTCTATGGCATCCATCAGATGGAGAAGCATGAAAGCATTTTTATAGAGTGTTTCTTGACTTTGCTAATGAACCTAGAAACTTTAGGTTGGGATTATGTTCTGATGGATTCACTCCATTTGCAGTCTCTGCGGCACCCATATTCATGTTGGCCAGTATTTGTTGCGCCATATAATCTTCACCCCGAGTTATGTATGACAAGTCCATAAATGTTTCTAACTTTTATTATTCCAGGTCCAAACAATCCAAAAGGTTTGATTGACATATACATGCAACCTTTGATTGATGAGTTAAAAATTGTTATGGAATCAAGGTGTGGAAACATATGTTGTAGTCCATAAACAAAACCTCATATTGTGTGCTGCTTTGATGTGAACTATAAGTGATTTTCCTTCTTATGGAATGTTGTCTGGGTGGTCAACGGTTGGTAAGTTAGCTTGCCCATGTTGTATGGAAGACACTAAAGCATTCACATTAAAACATGGAGGTAAGAACTCATGGTTCAATTTTCACCGTCGATTCTTTCCAATGGATCATGAATTTAGGAGAAATACTAGTGCATTTATGAAGAAGCAAACTGATTTTGAAGAGCCACCTACAACTTTATCGTCTGAAGAAATGTGGCATAGAGTTAGGGATTTATCTAAGGTAACAAATTCTCCACCATGTAAGATACCTAGTTATGGTGTTACACATATTTGGACAAACCAGAGCATATTTTGGGAGTTACCCTATTGGAAGCATAACCTTCTTCGCCATAATTTGGATGTCATGCATGTTGAAAAAAACTTTTTTGACAACATATTTAATACTGTGATGGATATGAATAACAAGACAAAAGATAATTTGAAGGCTAGGATGGACTTAAAAGAATATTGCGGGCGAAGTGAGTTGTACTTGACATACCTTAACAACAAGATTTAGAAGCCAAGGCTAGTTACACATTCACTTTGGATGAGAAGAGAGAGATTTGTGATTGGGTCAAAAAAATTGAAGATGCCTGATGGATATGCTTCAAACTTATCTAGATGTGTCGTTATGAAAGAAGGAAAGTTGATGTCTATGAAAAGCCATGATTGACATGTTTTCATGGAATCTTTGATGCCTATTGCATTCAAGTCCTTGCATGATAGAATATGGAAACCCATCACGTAAATAAGCCTTTTTTCAAAGAGTTGTGTTCTAGCACATTGAGGGTGGCAAACCTAAATTACATGGAGAGTAACATTTGCCTAGCTTTAAACAAATTTGCATAAATATTTCCTCCTGGATTTTTCAATGTAATGGAACATCTCCCAATTCATCTTGTGCAAGAGGCACGACTTGGATGTCATGTTCAAGGTAGATGGATGTATCCATTTGAAGGTGAGGACTTATAATTATTTTTATTTTCTGTTTGAATTTAAAAAAAATCATCTAAAGGTCATACTTTACAGGATTATTGGCAAAAGTAAATGGACCATAAAAATAGATGGAGAATAGAGGGAGCGATGCGTGAAGCATATCTGGAAAGAGAAACTTTTAATTTTGATTCATATTATTTTGAAAATGATGTTCCATGTTTGAGAAATAGACCCAAATGACATTACGATGGAGGAATTATCGATCCTTTGGCACCACCCTTTTCCATAGAAAAGGAGGTCCAAAACATACTCGAAAGCGAAAGTTAACTAAGATGGAGCTAAAGTCAGCTACAACATTTACTATTGAATTGTCCTGAGGTCCAACCATTTCATAGGTATATATATATTACCTTAAAAGCATGAACTCCTAACTTGAATGTTAAATTACTATAATATTCCTAACTTAGGTTGTGACTTTTTCGATGACTTGTGACTTTTCCGATAAGTTGTGACTTTTTCAAAGGGTGGTGATTTTTCTATGAGTTTTGACTTTTCCAAAGAGTTGTGACTTTTTCAATAAGTTGTGACTTTTCAAAAGAGTTGTGACTTTTCCAAAGTGTTGTGACTTCT